TTTGAAAAAAAATTCTCGATACGGTATTTAATTTTCCCTAAACTCAGTAATAAACTTTTTTTTTTTCTCATATATTAGCGAATGCGATTACAGGGGCGGCGCCGGCGGGAGAACGACTTGGGCTTTCAAGCCCAGTTATATAATAAATGGTACCCCCTTTGAAAATCTTTTTATTAAAATGTAAATGATTTTTTTTTTTATTTGCTGGAATATGATCACTCTTTTTCCCCATATTTCTTGTTTCCCTACCTACCTCACTAAAATTATTATGTTCCATAGAAGGAAAAAATATTGGTATTCTATGGTTTGGTTGTTTTGAACAATTTTAATAACATATTACAATTATAAATTTATAGTTTTATATAACATTATAACTGTATCACTGTTGGTTATCATTTAAATTATTTACAAATAATAATGAATATTTGATATTTGATATTTGTTGGGTCAAATACATGAATTGCTTCTCAATATTTTTGAGTTAAAGTAAGTATTTAATAAAAAAGGAGAAGTAAATTACCATTTAAAAATTTTGTTTTAAAGAAATCAACTAAATTTAAGCATTGATATCAAATTCCTGTTAGATTTCAAAAACAATTGCTTAATAAAAAAATAATTATATTGACATTAATCATTAAATTTCAACCAATTTCTTTTAAAATGAAATTTTAAGATGATAACTTGCTTTTTCTTTTTTTTTTTTTAGTGCTAATTTACTTTGACAAAAAGATATTAAAGGACAATTTGCACTACCTATTTATTGTTTATAATTTAAATATTATCAGTGGTTAAATATTGCCTATTAGGTTCAGCAAAACCAATCTCAGCTAAACCAATCAAACCCAACATCTCTCAATATTTCAGTGATATTTAGTTCTCAGCCACACATTATGGCGTACCTAAACATCCAAGATGTTATTTTCAGCTAACCAAAGTGAGGGTCAGAAGTTATTTTCCTTTGCAAATTGCATAAACATTTGCAGATTAAATCAAGAAATCAATACATACTACTTATTGAGGAAAGTTTTCTTCAACATCAAATATAACAATTCTTAACAACCCAGAAGGGTCCAAACGAAAACACTGATATATAAAGATGTTTTGATGGTCCATCAGAGGGAGAAAACACAGAATATATATTCAAAAATTAATTGGTCCATGACAGTTCCTTTTATTATGGCCAAATCGCCCACAGCGAGCACATCGGTTATTTCCAGGGATGCCCTTAATGACAACCCCTCTGAGGCTGCCAGGACCCTTCTTCTTAGCATTGGGGACCTGGAAATTTAACAAGAAAGATCGTGTGAATGGTGGCTAACAGGCCAGTTTGGAGAATGCTTTAGGAGATTATGGAGCAATAGAAAATGCAGCATGCCTTTAAGTAGCAAATTGGATAAGGACAATGCATACAGCGGTGGCCTATCTCTTGGCATCTTGTACATCGCGCTGTCAGTTCATCCTTTGTCAGGATGTTCCTCCACCTCTGTTCTTTCCAGGGGCGTTTATGCTCTGGAATCCGTCCTTCTGAAGAGAAGCCCTGCAACAAGTAAAAAAGAGTGCAAAATGAAGGTGGAAAAATATCAAATAACCAAGTGGAAATGACAATGCCAGAGCATAACAAGTTAGAACTCACCACTTCAGGAACTTTGCCCTTTCTTGCATTAGCAAATTTGGTTTCAGTTTGAAGATTAGCGGACTACAACAACCACAAGGTAAAAATTTGAGTTACTGGCAAGATGGGTGATTGGAAAAGAAGCTTCTGTGTTTCAACACTGAAAGAGACAGTTCTCAACAACATATTGGTCACCCTTGCAAAGGTCTAGGGGTGTGGGAGAATATTAACTAAAATAAAAAATGCTGAGGATCTGCCTTTGGAATTTTGAACCTAAAAGGGTTGATATTTAGGAAAGAATCAAAGTTGAAGTCACCCATGCATTTATCTCTTAATCTATATAACTAGCAGGCAGCTTGACAGGGAATTAAAGAGAAACAAATGCCGGTTTTCCTCAAACCAAACATACTATTAAGCTTTGCTAAGGTTTCATTCTTTACCCTATTTCAAGGACCATCACCCTCACCTATCCAGTTTCTATTACCATCACCATCACTAGGTTCTTAATCCCTTTATTAAACATCAGAAGAAGAACAAGGCATCATTCCATCAACCATTAGTAGTATTCAAGTTAATAGCAGGAGTTAATGAATTTGAAAGACAAAGGGGAGAAATTCAAGATATGATGTTATCTAAACAATGAGACCTTATTAGATTCTCATTTGTCATACGTCACTGAACTTAAGCCAATAATGGGAATTTATTGACGAGAAATAATCAGCCACAAGCAAATGCTACTTTCACATAAACTAAACACGTGTCATTGACGATCCAAGCAGCAACAACTTTACAGGTAGACTATCTACTAAAGAACAATACCCTTTGACAGGGATTAAACACATATAACTGAACTACTGGTTGAATGTCCTTTAACGACCAAGACTGTTCCCAAACCTTCCTTGAAATTCATTTTATACCCTTTTAAAATTAAATGCATCTCAATAATTCTAATCATAGCAACAGGACACATGCTGTATTTAAAGAACAAGATTTATGATGGAGCACATTAAGCTATATACCATGCAGTCCAACTTAGACAAACAAGATCACCATGCACTACAAACTTCTAACAAATTTCTTACAGATTTAAGAACAGAAATTATTTTGGAATTGCATTACCTGACACCAAATTTTCAGAGCTAAGACTGTAAAATTTGAAGCACTCAGACACTAAACTCAAAGAATCTGCTAAAATTATTAAGCGATATATGTTCAATGATTTCATGAATATAAGGTTCAGGAAATCTAGTTTTCTTATATAGATCAGAATACAATGATCTAACAAGTTAAGCAACAGAATTGACACGTTAAAGGAATACTTACAAAGGGATAAAATTGCACTTCGCTCTTAACAGCGCCTTCAAAGGTGACATATCAAGCACATACAAGAGAATATTAAATAGCTATTGAGACAGTAATTATCAAAGCAATCAAATGATATTCTCAAAACACACACAGAGAGACAAGGGCATCCCTTCTCAAGACAGTACCAAGAAAAACGAAAAACGAAAAACGAAAAACGAAAAACGAAATGCAAGATTACCTGAACTTGAACACCATCTTCATGAGACTCAAGAACCCCTCCTTGAGCCAACTCCCCTTGAAGCTTCCCACCATCAGCCATTGTCAAAAGCAATCAGCTTCCTTTTCTTCTCTGACTGTAAACCTCGAGCTCTATCAATGGCCAAATTTACAAGGGGATTAAAAGGGGGAGGAGGTGGGGAGAAAAGGGTCGCTGAAAGACCACGTGTTGGCTTCATGGTAGAGTATTAAAACATAGAATCCTCAAAAACAGCAAGAAATTGATGGTTTCTGAGGAGGGTTTTGGAGCTGGGTTGGCATAATAAATGAGACAAATTGGAGTAAAGGCTGATGAGTTGTGTTAGCAATTAGGGGGGGAATGGAAAAGTTTTGAGCTTTCGGCATCTTTGGTAAGGTGGCGGGCGACGCGACGTTGTGAAGATGGAGGAGATTGATTGGGAAAAAACCAGCCGTTACTGAATTTGAAAACCCTCGGTGAGGGAAGGTTGAGACGACAACGTTTTGAAAGCTTTAGCCTATGACTGATAATTGAGGCGTAAAAAAAAAAAAAAAAAAAAAAACTTCCATTCAAAAATTGAAATAATTATTTACAAGGATTAGGTAGGTTGGTAACATTTGAGGTATATATTCTTATGCGGCTATTAACATTTTTCTTCTATTTTTGTTTCACTCTTTTCAGTTAGATTAAATTATAATTTTTTCAGTTAAATTAAATTCTAAAAATTAAAAAACATATAATAAGAGAAAATCCTTTCACTCTTCTTTTAACTCTTTGTTAACCCAAAAAGAAAAGTTTTACTCCTCCTTTTCCTGAAATCAAATAAAGTATGAACATTTTTAGCTCTAAATAAATAAATAAAACAATCTATTTTGCCTTATAATTTTCTTGAAAATCATGTTTCTAAAGGGTTTGAATTTGATCTTTGATTCTTTTTTTTTTTTTTTTTGATATATTAAAGAGTTAACTACTTTTATTAGTTAAATTTTTTTGACCAAGAGTAATTATAAGAGAAAAGGAAAAATGAATCACTTCCTGGGTGGAAGTAGCACCAATGATTTATAAATATAATAAATGTAAATATTCAAATAATAAGCGAGAGTTAAATTCTTGACCAATCTTATTCAAATATTAAAACTTAGAGATGAATTATTAAATTCTGAAGTTTCTAATTCTTTTATTAGTTAAATTTGATCTTTGATATCCGGTGATTTATGCAGCACAGTTCCCCTTTTTCATTCTTGAGAAATATAAAGAGAAGGACAAATAATCACGTGTCAAAGACTGGACTCCATGGCTTATGCTTTGCACTTAATTGATATGTATAGTTTCATACAGAAATTACAATCGTGAAATCTTGCCATCCCTAAGCTGCCTTTGGCAATGCGTAAATACCAGGCATCATATCCTTCTTCCTACTAGATCCCGAATGTACATGGAAGAATATTTCAACCCCTAGCCTTCATGGGGCTACGTCTTGAGCTTCCTATCCCAACAGGGGCTGCCCACCCTAGCTCTCTACATTGCTCTTCATCAGGTTGCAAGGTCCCTGGAATTGCACCAAATGCTCTTCTGGTAGTTTCAAATCCAGAAACTACATAATGCAAGGATGCAGAAGCATCCTCTATATTCTTCTGCAGGTTTTTGGATGCAGATGCAAAGTTCTTTGATGGTATATTCTCTATTTTTCTCTCCAAAGCCTGGTCCAGCTCAGCAGCCCTAAGAAACCGCTCTGTGGCAGCCTCCCAAGATAGCTCATGTCTCTGTGCATCAGTCAATGGTGCTGGCGTTTCGGCAAGAGCCTTACGTGTGGCTTCAACAAAACCTTTGCCGTTATTGTATGTTCGACAATTTGGGAATTGCTTGAAGAATTCATTTGAGGGGTGATTGGCACATACAACAATTTTGCCCATAGCCAATGCTTCAGCTGTGGCTGTGCAAACAACATCTGTGGTGCTTGGATTCAAGAACACATTATAACTGGAAGGAGATCAAGAAAAATTTGTATCTTTTAATTTCAACCCTATTAATCAGCTTCAGAAAGAGGAAATATAAAATAACAAAGCATCCTATTTTCACCAGATTATCATCTGCAAGTATAACCATAAATGAGCAAATAGCAACTGTTTTGGCAGATTATATATGAAGGCCCATCACAAGAATATTCTCATGACTTGAATTACCAAGCACAATAAGTTAACGGTAAACTTAAAAAATGGCTTTCAACCATTTACTTCAACATACAAACCCTTTCCCCACCACCCCCCAAAAAAAAAAAAAAATCTCCATTCTTCTCCACCTTTCAACAAAAAGAAGTTCCCTTCGAACAAGCTAAGTTGGATTGGCTTACACTTCCTCCAAAGTTGAACAAAACCCAACCAAGCACAAATGAGTTAAAGAGATGAACAAAAATTCCCAAGTTAACAGGTTGAAAGAAACAGGTAAGCATCCTCAATTTTCATTGGAAGATATCATAATTCATAAGAGAGAACATGACGAGATATATGGGCCTTACTCATGGAATAAAGGGTCAGCATGATCACAACCTGGATGGACTCTAACCATTACTTCCAATTTTTTTGCAGCTTCCTTAACCTCATCTGAATCCTGTCCACTTCCATACAAATCAACTTCAAGACCAGCTAGTTCCTTTCGGTGATCCTGCAAAAGTTTTAGTAACTCCTTGTAACCTTTGCTCCACACCATCTTCCCAATGTAGTAAGCACCTTTTGCAAAGAGCTGATTACCACTTTGTAGCTGCTCATACTTTTTCTTCCCAGTATCAAGAAATTTAGGATTAACACCATGAACATTGCGGACGATGGATCCCGGGTAATCCTGTGTTGCAGCAGATAGCCTAATTACCTGCAATTCACATTGTGATCATAATTTGCCAAGCACCACACTTTTAATTACTCATACACATAAAGATGCAAAATTTTTCAACAGTACGCATATCTTAGTTCCTTAAGAGAAATAAAGCCAACAGCAACATTCAGTTGTTCATTCTAAGTAGTTGCAAGTAAAGCTAACCATTATTGGGAAATATACCTTATGACAGTAGATACTAACAACCCAAGTATTTACATATTTGAGAAAAAATGCCTGAAACCATCCATTTTTCTCTCTCTTCACATATTCCAAGTAATTAGTGTGTATAACTCCGACAACAAGGCGGAATTTAGATTTCCATCTCTTCCCATGGTGATACCATGTAAGGTGCTCAGGCTCCTCAAGGACAGCCACATCCGCCTCTTCATCAGGGATGATATCAGAGATGTCTCCAGCAGGAAGAATGCTTCCCTTATCATTGGCAAACTGCAGCGTAAGTAATGTCATGAATGAAAACTAGCAGAAAAATAAGGTGGTTTAGATTGTTTAACCCAATTACTGATTTGAGCCTAAACTGAGTTAGGTTCTCATTTAATTCAAAGTAGCCCTGATTACCAGACATGTTTACTCATCAAATTTCATCAACAGATCCATTTAAAATTGTACAACTCATACAATATGCTTCATTTCACCACATTATGTTAAAAAAAGAAAAAAGAAAAAAGATTACAAGCCTCCCAATTAAAAAGAAAAAAAAAAAATCATTACTCTTAAGAAGTTCATTAAAAGTATAGCTACCTTTCCAGGATAAAAGTGTATGTCAAAACCAGATGTAAATGAAATCCTCTCTTCAAGCCATTTACGAATATATTCCTCGTGCTCTGAAGGTGAACTGAATGTAGTGTTGTTAGGATATAGTAATCTTTGATCTTTCAGAGATAACCAAGGTATGACCAACTTGACCTTTCTCTCCCCATCTTTTGCAAGATAAGCAGCACGAAACAAAGGGTTGACAGCAGTTCCGGTCATCCATGGAAGACTTGCTGTAGTAAAAATGGCAATATGCTGCTTCTTTTCCATTCAGTATAAACCAACAATCTATGCATATGTTTCCAATTTAGCCGATATATAACCTATAAATAAGAAAGAAAGACATTTAACCCAAAAAAAAAAAAAAAAATCAAAACCTTATCTTTTTCACTACATTAAGGTAAACAAAATAAAATAAAATTTTGACCAAACTAGATAAGATCAAGTGAACCAGAATGAAATTCATTAGGCAAGAGAACAAGTAAATTACACCAAAGAAGCATAAGGGAAGTAAGTCACAATGAAGGCAGAAGGGGAAATACAAAAGACAGCTAGCTGTGATTGCCCCAAAAGGCACTCAAGTAATTTGAAATTAGTGTAACTTGCCTGTGCAAGAAACCATACGAGTAAAGAAATTGAATCAACATTCCGTTGAATAACCATTAGTTAACATAAAATCATATCCCGGAAAAAATAGCAGTTTACACATTCAATCAACCTGATAGAAGGATGAATTACAAAAAAGTTTGGATTTTTCAATGAGAACAAGGTAGCATCACCGTGTTCAACAAACAATTCCTTGCTTAGTTGCTTATGCATCATCAAGAACAAACCTTTGGGCCAGTTGGGGGGATTTAAAATAAAATTATAAACTCAAGATTGCTTGCAAAGATCATTTCGCATCAAGAAAACGCCAAACAAAGAAAGAAGAAAACAGCTTGAGAGATTCTTAAAATGGATTCAAACACACGAAACACTCAAGGATCACCAAAGATGTGAATCATGTGGTTCTCCTATTCATTGCCAAGTCCAAACGACTCGTTCACAAAACAATAAATGAGACTGGAAAATAAGCATAGCAAATCAATTAATAAATAGAAACCGAAAGGAACGATCTTTTACCTCTGAATTTCCGAGCAGAGATGTAGAAATGAGATGACGGAGGAGACGGTGGCGGAGGGGCCAAGGCATAGGAGGATGGGTTTTTACAGGAGTGAAGGGGAAGAAGGAAAGATTAGAAATAAAAAATTTTTAAAAATATAATAAAAATACACTCCAAATAATTGGTCAGTCTGTCTCCAAGTATGCAAAACGTGGTACTTTAGACTCAACCAATGTGTGAATACTCACACCCAACGCATTCTCTCAGTCATTCTTGTGTTGAATGTTTGGTCCGTGTTCTGGGTTTCTCCATGTTCATCGTCTGCCAGTCCTCCTAATTTAATCTCGAAAGCATCAACTGCTGACTGGTAGTTTGGCTTGTCGGAAACCTCCGATTAGGTGTCTCAGGCGTCAAAACCCTCCTAAAGTTCAAATTTTTTGAGCTCCCCAAGAATTTACGGCCGCTATAAGGTAATAAAAATCATCTCTTTCTACATGTTCTTTTGATTTGTTCGGAGAAAATTCATGGTAGAAGAGGTAGTTCGAAGTTTAATCTTTTTTAGTATGTTCTTTTCTGCTTTAAAAGGTGGGATGGAAAAAATCTGAGGACAAAATGTAATGCGCTTGAAAGAAAATTGATATTTGTGCTTTTTGTTGTTAGATTTGAGGTGGAGGGAAATGCTCCTGGGTCATACAGAGGGTATGTCAGAACTTCGGTCGTCAAAGGACGAGCTCCTTGCGGATCCAGAATCTGAGATTGAAGATGACACTGGAAGCTCTGAACAGATATTGTACACAGCATCCTTTGAAGAACTTGCCAGAAACCATATTCTATATGATACAATTATTTGGGTTTCCATATCATCGTTGCTGGTTTTAGCTTGGGGTGTTGGTATCCTCATGTTGCTTTATCTGCCCATTAGAAGATATGTGCTTCAGAAGGACATATCCTCGCGCAAATTGTATGTCACGCGTAATGAAATAGTATACAAGGTATTGATATTTGCAGCATACAGTTCTGTTCACACATACAAACATGTTAGAGACATAGTTCTATCATTGTTATCAATGAGAGTAAAAGATATGGCATGCATGTAATCCGTTTTATTTTTCTTTTACTTTGAAGGTTTCAAGGCCTTCCTACATACCTTTTTGGGGCCAAGTAACATTGGAGAGATACGTACCTCTTTCCCAGGTGATTGACATCATTATTGAACAAGGTAACGATTCAAGGCCTTCATAGATGCTTGATTTAACCAATTATGTATGGCTAACTACTTCTCGTAGTCTACTTAAGATTTCAGTTTGTATAGTAGACTACATAGAGCGTTTGCCAACAGAGGGAAATCATAATAGTTTGATTAGTTATACTTCTTTGGAACATAATACAGGTGGAAAGAAAAAGACATCTTTGCATATGTTTGATCCATCAGAAGCTTAATTGTTTCATTTATGGTTGGTGTGGACTTTGGACCCATAGAGCAGTCAATTTGAGATAGATTACCTTATTGATCTTGTTTCAACACTCTTTTTATGGAAAACAAATAAATCTACAGTAAAGATGCAATGTGTGAGAAGAATGAATGATGGCATTATGTGTTTTCATGCTTACAGGTTGCTTACAGTCAGTGTATGGTATCCACACCTTTAGAATTGAAAGTATAGCACGCGGAAAAGCTGCACCTGTAGATGAACTACTAGTGCAAGGGGTTTTTAACCCAGGTGTTCTGAGGAAGGTAAACAATATTTTAGATGATTTATTATTATCTATTTGTATGGTTAATAAAGTAAATGGAGACCATAAGTGAGTTTAACATATCCTGCAGGTTATTGTGACAGAAGCTGCAAAAGCTATACAGGATGTTGGTAAAGGTTGGAAACTCACGACTATTGGTGGTGATGGGGAAAGTTTTTCTAGAATGACATCTTTGACAGAAGGACCAGCTGTTTTTAGATCACCATCTAAAAGTCGGAAGGTAATTGTCCATGAGCCCAATTGATGTCTTGAAATATTTATTTGTGCAGGCAAATGCATTCACTTTTGTGAATGATGAGGTTAGGTTCTTTTTTGATATAATTTGTCTCACAATATGTAAATTTAAAATTAGTAGGACTTACACTCTTATACAAACACACACACACACATGGCTGTTTGTGACGGAAAATATGTAATGCCATGCTTGTGGAGGTGTATTCCCTGTCTAAGATTAGCACACTTAACTGGATTTAGGGTGCAGTGACATCTGGTTGACTTGATTTTTTATTGCTTCTTAATTTGATAAACCCTTAAAGTTTTAAACATTTCCAATTCATAAAATTTTGTGACTTGAAAGGTTGAATGGAAAGTGGTAGGTTCTAATATTTCTCTTCTAGAAGGAGCAAAAACACACTTTGTGTTCAGGTCTGCTTTCAAAACAAAAGTATATCTTTTGATCATTTGGGAAAAATACTGCAGAAGCAAGATTTTGCTTTTGCATTTTTAAGGGTCTGGCATTGGAAAGGTCTCCCAAGAGCAAATGCAGACACTATAGGAAATTTTTGTTTCTTGCATGAAACACATATTGCTTAACTATTTCCTCTGTATTTTTTCTATGTTTTGCTTTTCAAACCAGATAACTGTTTTATTAATTATGATTGCACACATTAATCAGATGACAGGATCACCACACCATCCCTCAGTAGAACAGAAAGGAATGGTGCCTGGATCACTGCTGCTGCATAAGCTTGATGAAGTCAGTAAATCAGTAAAGGTATGGGCCTTTTCATTTCTTTATATTGCAGCCACTGAAGAATCCTAGGCGTGCTGGGTTCCATTGACATATTCACATTTTTTGGTCACAAACATTTTTTAAAGAAGTGAAAGATTAGATTATGATTCATACCATCTATAAATGTATTGTCACATTTTTTTGAATATCCTTTTGTCCTTTTGCTCATTCTTCATGCTTCTTTCAGCTTGTTGTGATTGAGATTTTTTTTCCGCTCTTGTTTAATTAAATAGATCATACTATTTATGTGGAGTCATTTTTAAAATACGCAATACATTCCCTAGCAGCCCAGCCTTTCTTTCTCTAAACAGAAGACTTTTGTTTATAAATATTGTGGAGAAGTTGGGTTCTTGCCAGAAATATATTTGTTGTCTCCCCAAAGAATGAAAGAATGAATGCAGAAAGAAAAACAAAGAATGCTACGTCTTCTGAATTTTTGTGGTTTCAGTTTATTATTTTTATTTGCAACTCCAACTTGTTATGCTTTTCGTTTACCAGAAAATTGAGTTGCTGATTGAGAAGTCCCAGGCTTCTTCAGAATTTAGCTGAGGAAAATATGAATCTCGACATTTTGGCAAATCAAATGTGCAAGAAATTCATTCCTGGAACCGGAATGTTTCCTATGGATTTAGGCTTGACTTTTCACTTCTTCCCATTTTTATACTTGATGGTCCTTGGCCAACAAAATAGGAAGTGTAGTCAAGACGAAATATGAAATTAGTTTTTTGAGTTCTCTGTTTTTCCTTTATGTATATAGTCATTAATTGCTGCTTGCTTGTCAATTTTACTTGCAGTGAATTTAGATAAGAGTAAGGGAAGGATTTGTATTTAACTTTGTTTTGATTACATTTTTGTTTGCTTGAGTAACATGGAAGTAAAGAAAATGATTGGTTTATAAATTTAAAATTTTTTTTTATCAATAGTTGAATATTTTTTTTTCCCTTATGTTGGACTATACAATAAAAGACATTCCTCTCCTATCCTATTTATTTATTTACTAAATTGCATTGTGAATTAATTGACTTTTACTTATCATGTTAATAAATCCACTTTACTGGTCTGCACAAAGTTGCAAGGCCATCTGTACTGGGATTTGAGAATTCATCAAATTCACATGCGCCTGGTGAGACCAAACTCTCTAAGAATGGAACCATGCCAAACTCAGAGACGGTTGAACCAAGGCCATTGATTGCAATCTTCCTTACTGATACATCTTTAGAATTGTAAAGAAATAATTCTGCATGTCTGTTACATTCATTTGCTAAAACCTAGTATAATGCATGGAGAAGCAGTTGTACAGGGAACAGAAACATACTGGAAGTCTGAACAATTTGTTCCAACAATTTCTGTACATAGTTTCCTTCATTACCCACATATCATAATAACTACTATGTTTAGGGCCGGCAATGCTTGTTAGACCCAGATAATCTCCCAAAATTCCCAAAACACATCGAGTTCCAGGTCTCATCATTTTGAAATGTCTCTTCCCTCATCCTCTCTCATCATTTTGAAATGTCTCTTCCCTCATCCTCTCTTTCTCTAGATCAAAACGTACTCTGAAACGTTTTAGATACCTACCATCATCATTCTGTTTTTTGCCAATCCATTAGATGCAGCCATTAGCAGCCTTCCCTGTTTTCCCCCCAACACAAAAAGGCTATTGTATGTCACTAACAATAGCATTCCACAAACCCATCTTCAACCTCAAGCTCTGGAAGGTTGTTCGTCCTTTGTCAAGCCAAATATTTACAACTTTGTAATCATCAATGGTGGAATCATAACCAAAACCAAACCCATGCCATTATATAAAAGGTTTGGCTTGGGAGGTGCTAGAAATCTCTTACGTGCCTTTGTTGAAGGGTTCCAAACTACAACTCTATTAGTATGAGGGACGCATAGCATACCATCACACTATGCTATCCTATCTGTTTTTCTTATAAGTGGCATTACAGTGGGAGTAGGAGTTTGTACTGCTTGAACAACACTTCACAACCCTCTAGATTATTGGGGATCAAATTATCAGGGATTGTCACAGTAAAGAACGCTGTGTGATAGCAATAAGCATGGATAATGGCCAAACCATTAGTGTAATCAAGAACAAAACTCTAGACACCATTTTTAGACTTCTTGATTTTCATGTGAGTTTTGATGAATTTTGAATTAGAAAATAGAATATCCCATTCTCTAGATATGCATTTCAATCTCATCAAAGATTTAACTAGAAGTTTGATAAAAATATCAACAACAATTCTATTAAAAAAATAACTTATATTTAAGTAAGTCTTTTCTTTTTTTGATTTTGAATTGTATAGTCAAAAATAAC